ATATATATATATATATATATATTATATATATACATATATATTATAACAATATGACAATATAACAATACAACTATAACAATATATATTTACATATGTATTATACATATATATATATATAAAATAACAAATAACAAATATATATATATATATATATATATATATATATTCATACGTATATGTTTCATCTACATCCAAGACGATATCAAACCATGCACAAACAAGGGGTATACATACATACACACACCAACATACCCTGCTTGCTTCCAATCCTTTAAAGAAATCCATAGCTGGACCCCCTTCAGCACTTTTCTTCTTAAAGAAGTTCAGGATTGAATTCCTCGCCTTCAGTTTATCCATAGGTGGCTTGTCTGTATCTGATTTGGCTGAATTCTCTGCCCCACCCTCCTTCCCCTGGTTACTTCCTACGATTGAATCACCTGATTTTTCGCTCACTTTCTCTATCGTGTCATTTAACGGAATTCCTATATAGCCGGTAGGTAGGCCCTCGCTTGCCCCTAACTTTGTAAGTATAGACGCATCATGAGGTGCTTCCTGTGTGTATGTGCGCCTTAATGCACGTGGTACTTTGATATTGAGTGTGTTCTTCATACCAGCGTGTAGTACTTGTTTGTGTGCCACATTGCATGGTTGTGATCTCACACCTGCGCGTGAGTATATATATCTTCGTGCTAATGCACTTTTATCTGCAGCCGCAATAGATGTGCACGACTTTAAGACCCTAATAGGTCTGGGTACTAATCGGTTCATATTGAGTATCGGTCTGTGGATCGTACCTGCAGTGAACAATGTATTGTCGCATAGACATAGACGAATAATCTACCTATATCTGATAACATACAAGCCAACGAATAATTAGTATTTGCACAAATTTGGACCTATATCTAACATGCATATCCTCACGTCGGCGATCACGGTTTATCAAGCCTAAATCCTACGCCATATAGACATATAAAATACAATATGGATGTACACGTGTACTGATGTGCTTTAGTCTATGGTGTGATGAATGTGATGACTAGATTTTATGTAAATACGAGTATACATTTGTACTAATGTGTTGCAAGTTATGAGGTGTTACTGACTTAGTTACGGACCTGCTTGACAACACCGAAACACGCAGTTCTCAGCTTGAGCTTTGTCAGCTGTGGGCTACGTATTGGATCTGGAATATTGATGATGCGTATTTGTTGCTACAAAAGCATGCTGGCGTGGAATCGTGGACCGTGGTGTTGTAAAACTTGGAAACTGATATTTGATGATGAGCAGATTAAAAATTAGGAATCATGTGGAATAAAAGACCCAAAATGAATTTAGCTTCCTATGATATGTATGTCGTATTTTAAATTTAGGTCCGTTTTCGAAGCCACTTTCTGGCACACTATTTTGAAACCCACAGATACTATCTCGCTACTTTAGCAGATGGGTCTCAGGACTCCCAGGCCCCGGCCTCTCCCCTCCAGGACAGGCCCAGGTGGTTCTTCGTGTAATTTAATATACAACATATAACAAAAAAAAATATTCGTCACGCATTTAGGAATTCTCGTGGTCTGAATGTCGCAAGCATTTGATTTTTCTATTTGTTTATTTTAACAAAAGTGTATATATATTTCACCTATATACAAGACCCCCTGGGTTTTGACACTGGGCCTTTAATGCAATACTTTTAAAGTATTGCCCTTTCTTTTATTTTATAAAATAGTAGAAAATGCCGTAACTTTTAGGGTTTCGGGTATATAAAACCCTAAAGTTAAAGTTGACTCGGCCTACGGACCGTGACTCGGCCTACGGACCGCTCAGGCGCTCATACCAAAGCGGCATAAATAGCTTCCAGTAGTTCCGAACCAAGGCTCCTCTTCTTTTTAAAATATTTAGTAAATAGTAAATAGAGAGGAAAGAAGAAAAGAACTATAAAATATGTCTGAATCGAATGAAAGCCCTTTGTTTCTCTGTCTGCACAGGAGATGCGGAGAAAGTATCTATGTATTATGTGTAAATCCACTATTAAAGTATTATTGGCGACCAAACAGGGAGATTGTCCTATAGAATTGGAGGTCGATTATTAGGCGATATTTTATAGTACAAGTTTTTATAGTAATATTAAGAGAAGCGTAACCCGTGATACCACAGTTGAAGATCTTCAATAATTAGTTAGCCGACATCAAACAAATACAACAGGTCGTTCTAGTACTACATATATCGCAGAGTCATTCCGAAGAGAAATAAGAATCATTTGTGCACATTATGGTCACATACTCTCTCGAGCATAACGTGTGCCACCGTCGGTATTGTATTTCAACACGTTCACTTGAAAGTAATTCACGCAAAGCACATACGCTTGATGATTATCTGGCGTATGTGCTTTGTGTATTAAAGTGGTTCCTAGCAAATGATCTGAAATACAATACGTACTGATAAACATTTGTATTGGTATTTCAATTATTAAGCGTGTACGAATGTTTTATCATTAGTTCCTTGCACAAACCGAACCCTTTTTTAAAAACTATCATTTGTTGGCCCTGACATTTGATATCACTCCAATACATATATCTAGAATCACTTGCACACAATGTATAAACACCAAACAATTTAAATACCAATAGTTGTTTAACTAATACTCGCGTGACTTTTCCAATTACCATTACAATTGATTCTTTACTATTTGCACATCTAACTCTGGATACCAATACAATTGTTTAATCGCTACGTCGGTGCAATACCCTTCTATATCCACTAGCATTCACTCCGACTGGAGCAACTCGTGTGTAACCCAGTATGAATAGACAACCCCTCGTCACTCTCTATGCGGCTGCATCTCCTTTGCCTGAAACTATCCCTCATCACAGTCAAATCCGTGGTACTGGAGTATCCCATTGTCAAGGGTACATGAGGGATATTCTTATCTTCCTCTTTAGCAGAGTTTTCACACTCACATTTAGCCTTCGCAAATTTGCACTCTACAGGACCCAAACAAAACGTATACGAGGTAGCGCCAAAGAAGTCAATATGTTGACGGCCATCTGTTAAACGTGTGCGTTTCAACGGTTTTCGCAATTGTTTTGCTTCGCAGTTGCACTTTTCACTCCCCAACGCCATCTCGAAGTTTTTGAAGTTCTGTACTTCTCTGTGCGCCGACATAAGTTGGAAGTAACTCGAAACGGATGCTACAGCTGATCGGTCGTATTCTTCGCGTCCAAACGTATGTTTTTCATCTACAAGCGTGCTGAATGAGACCCTTATGTTTGTTTCACTAGGCGTGTGGGGAGGAGTGTGCGCCATTGGGTCTAGCTCAACTATGCACGATGCATCGAGAACGGATATGACATCGAAAGAGATACTGCAAGTAGAATTATGTTTAGGACTACGTGGTCTGCCTGAGGGTTTCTGCGTGTTGATATGCATAAGCACTTGGTCAATAGCCATTGTGCTGTTGTCAATCTCTGACACGTGCTTATTGAAAGTTATTGTATTGTATATTGTAAAGGTGAAAGGGGCTTTCCAGAAAGACTCGACACGACACCTACCGAATAAATCCCTTCTGGATAGTGGATACACTGTAAATAGAGCAGGCAATCTTACTGTAAGAAAAATAAATACTACCGTCAACAATCCGATGCGACTGCAAAAAAAATATGTATATAATTATATTATGGGCTGAATCACAACTATGCGTAGTCTATATATATAATTATTTACATGTACATTGCACAATATTTACATCATGATCACGTATCGATGCCGCCTTTTTTCTAACATATTTAATATAAAAAATAATGTAAATGATTATGTATGTATGTATGTATGTTTTTTAAATATAAATAATAAGGCAGCTGTCGCCTCCTTGACCTTTCACCTTCCTTCCCAAAGGCAGTCAGGCACCAGAGGGTTCAGACAACTAAATCGACATTCAACGGCCAACGGGTTAACGCCGATAGCCCGTTACACGGTTACAGACACACGCGGGATTCGGCGGGAACAAAAGTTTTACAACTTTCATAGAGAATAATGTTTCAATTGGTTCTAAATTTTGTAAGTTGCTCATTTACTTTTTTTCTGTTCTACCTTTTTAAAAAACAGACAGGAACATATGATAAAGTAACCTTGCCTCTTGAAAAGACTGAAACAGTGTGAAAAGTGAAAACACTGAAAAGTCAAAGACTGATACGGTCTCCACTCTCCTGATCTCCTCTGAGCCCTCTCTCGTCCTCAAACACAGAAGAGAGAGAAGAGAGGCCAAGTAGAGATTATTTTGTTTTTGTTTGTTTTTTAAATAATAAGTCAACAATCCACATCCGCACTTAAATACGCACTTACATAATAGTGACACTCACGACTAATCAATTTACCCGATCACTCGCGATTCAGCTGTAAATCACTAAATTGCAAATTTGCAATGACTTTTTTAAAAACAGAAGATAAATAGAGAGAGCGAGAGAGACTGAGAAAACTATTTATTTATTAAAATAACTGCCCTGCATCTTCGATTCTTCTGGAATTATTTATTAGAAAATAACGTTTTTGATAAAAGAGCAAAACAATGCAACTTCTATTTTTATTTCTATTATGTTTTCCTATATATATATTATAAAAACATACAAATAATATTTTCAAAAAACAAAATATCTGTAGTCCTTCTTTCTGATGGCCTATGTATCGATAGAGTTGTCGCTAAATACGGTTGCTTTTCCGAGCCCTGAGGTCCAACGTTTTCGTTGATTTTCCTCAGGCTGTCCGTTGAGTTCGCAAAATAGGTTGGTTTTGTTATTGTCTTTCCCGCGTATAAACGTTTTAGCGTTTATAAATCGAATATGCATGTATGTAAATATTTATTTTGATTTTTGTTCTATAATTCGACTTTCGTGTGAGAACAAATACTACCAGTGAAATAATATATATAGCCAACGTCAACACTACACACAGCTATTCACATACTGCTGCTTCCCTTCATAAAAGAAAGATCTCACGTTGTATAATCGTGCATATGTAGACGTACAACGTAAAGCGATGCCTATTATAAGTTTGTGTTCGAAAATAAATCAGTCGCAGAGCCTTCACACAGTCTCAGGACGTCAGCTAACAACTTGATTGATGTCCGCCAGTGTAAGCGCCATCGAGTTTCTTTCGGCGTCGGTGAATATCGTGTGCGTTGAGTTGAATTCATAGGGAGCTTACACATGTATGCGGAATGATATCATATGTGTCGAGATATATGTCGTTTTATCGCATATGTAGTGCAGAAATTATTGTATGTATTCGTGTCTATTTCGAAAGTATGTAATTTGTGGTCATAATTGCTAACGTTCGTATATTAATTATGGAGCTTCGGAGTGACTAGCATCATGATAATCATCAGTGTATGATTATGTCTGATATTAATTGTGGAACTTCGGACAGCGAACCTAACATCGCGATGTGATAGATTCAGAGGTCTATGTTTTGCGAGCTCTATCATAGTAAGCGCGTTCAAGTCTCATTCGGTGGTGATTGATACTGGATTGTGCAGTTGTACAATAGCAACATCGGTGCATGTACAAGATAAATATGG